AGGGCAGGGGAAAAAAGGAGGGGAAGAAATTCTAAAAGAAACAGATGAGATTGATTGGCCAAAGAAGCCACAGCATAGGAAATAACAAACTGAGCAAAACAAGCATAGGCAAGGACTATAAGGAAACAAGAGCTGCCCCAGACCCCTAAACAGAAAACACCAAACTCAGGAAAAGAAGCTGAATTAAGGGAAATCAATGTAATTAAACGATTGCTCACAGAACAGCAGAGCCACTCACGACAGTCTTACTTCCTGTATAAACTTTGGTTCCCCAGGCTTAGTATCCAGATCTCGGAGAAGAGCATCCAGCATGGGGGTGCTAGGGATAAAAGAGAAGTAGGGCTGAGCCTGAGGCTGTGCCAAACATCCACATATGGAGGTGGGAGAAGAGGGGGATCAGGAGAAAGGAAACAAAAACAACCTAAAGAAAAGTCTTCATAGCACTGGAGCCCCAGAATAAGTTTTAGGTCTCCAACCTAAATGGCTGCTTCTGGCCCTTAAAGCAAACTCCCACAGAGCTCTCAATCAGTAATCCCATTTGGAGAAAAGTTCTTTTAGAAAAACAGACCTCAAAACACTGAGAGGAAGCCAATGTCAGCTACCAAAACCAACCATCTTAGTCCTCTGTAAACATAAATAGATAACCAAAGATCACCAGATATCTATAAAGTACTTACAAAATAAGAGGGACCAAAACAAAAAGCAATAGAATCAACAACAAAGGAAACTAAGGTAGTGAAAAATTTAAAGAGAGTTTAAATTCTAATAAATATCCTCCAAACCACTCACAGAATATTGCATCCATAAGATAACAAACTACTATGAAAAAGGAACAAAAAATAAGATAGCACTTGGAAATCAGAAATTCAGATACACAAAGAAAATCCAATAAATACACAAACTATCAGAATTATCAAGTGAATTTTAAGGTCACTAGATACAAGGTACATAGAAAAAAAACATATTCCTGTACACCAAAAACACACAGAAAATTAAGTCAAAAAACAAACAACTATATAGACAATAGTACCATTCAAAACACCAAGAAATTATGGAAAATAGAAAGTATTGATGAGGAGGTAGAAAAATTGGAACCCGTGGACATTGCTAGTGGGAATGTAAAATGGTTCCACTGCTGTGGGAGTTTGTGGCTTCTCAAAAAGTTAAACACAATTATCATATGGCCCCGCAATTTTACTCCTAGGCTTATACCCCAGAAGAACTGCAAACAAGTACCCAAACAAGAACATGTGCGTGAATGTTTGTTTACAGCAGCACTGTTCACAAGAGACATTTATCTTGGTAGTGAGCTTACTTACCTGTTTGGTTCTATAGTCCCCTCATCTCTAGAATATAGACAGCATACCCACTGCCCCCTCACTTTATAGCATTTGTGTGAGGGTAAATGTAATAAAACACAAAAGACTGGGCACATAATTACATCCCTCTACATCTTTGGCAGTGATTCTCAGTATGATCCCTTGGTAATCAGTCTAATCCATAATATTTCAGTCTGAAAATCTTTAATGGTCCTTTTTTTTCTGGAGTCATTTACTTATGAGCATTATTTTTTGACTAGGAAAAAAAATTTTATTACCAAAGTAAGACTAATAGTTATTTTATCTCTGGATATATATTGGTATATTCACATGCACAGATACCCATTTTTTAATTTTGGGAAAGAAATTAATGATTTTAGTAGAAACAGGCTTAAATCAAACTTTTGAGGGCTTAATGCAACAAATGATGAGCAATCCCTTCTAACTAGCTGAAAGAAGGGTTAAGAAGCCTTCGAATGCTTTCTAAGGTAGGAAATCACGCTATAGTCTCAGCACAGCTTTATTAAGAGCAATATACCCAGGTAATCCCTCTACCCTGGATGGTGGTATAGATCTAGAGCTCTCCTAAAACTACTAGTACAACGGAAATGGGTGCAGTCACTTTGGAAATCTGTTAGGTAATATTTACTGAGGCACACCAAAAGATGTGAAGAACAGGAAATTCATAGAGGTATTATTTGTAACATCCTAAAAGTGGAAAAATTTCAAATATCCATCAAAGGTAAAATGGATAAATAATGGCATATTCTATCAGGAAAATTCTTAAATTTTAGCCAAAGAACCCAGATGCAAAGACACATTTAGTGTGATTCCATTTACATAAATTTCAAATATAAGCAAATTAATCTAGATGTCAGAAGTTACAATCAATAGTGGTTACCTCTGGGGAGGAAGGGTGGACCACTAAGTGGGTCTTCTGTGTTCTAATATTTTCTACTTCTTGACCTGTCTCTGATTACACAAGTGAATTCACTTTATGATTATTCCCTGATTAAGCTGTACTTGCAAACTTCTCTGTATTAGACTTCAAAGGAAGTTTCTTTTTAAGATGCTCTTTCCAACATTAAAGGGTGTTTTGTTTTTTTAATGACCTTCCTAGAACTCACCATCAGTTTTAAATAATTCTAGAAGAGCCATCTCCAAATTTAAGAACCACAGTTGATTTAAGGCAGGTTGCTAAGAACCAAACTTTGAGAAACACTGCCTAAACCATTTTCAAGGTAAAATGGAATAACAAAACAGGATTAAAAAGTCTTTTGACCTAACCATGAGAATCTAGTACCTGTCCAGCTCAGGTAATAAAGAGCTTCTACCTGAAGACCCCACCCAGTCATTGCACTGAGAAAAGACCTGGCAGAGCTTTACAAGGCCCGACTTCACCAGTAATGTAGGAGGTACATAGCAGCCCATTGCCTTAAATCTGAAATCTGTTACGCAGCAGAGGAGCCTGAGGCATGTACCTGAGAAGCTTCAGATTATTCCCTATTCTCACAGTGTGAGTCTAGACCAGAAGCTGCAAACTACTGACCCGAGACAAATCTCTCCTATTCCATTTTAATAAGTGAAATTCTATTAGAACACAGGCACACACAGCTTTGGGATTATCCACAGTTGCTTTCTGTATTATTGTCATTTATAATAAAAAATACATATTTGGTCTTCATCCCCATTCCTGGCTCACAGCCCCTAAAATCCTTGGAATTTCCTAAGGAGGAACGCAAACAAAACAGGTGTTTCCTGTTAATGAGGTGACTTCTGGACCCCATTCAAGGGTGGAGGCTGGTTGCTTTAGGAGCCAACCCCGTGGTCAGAGGATTGGAACTCTTAGCCCCACCCCCTAAAATCCTGGGAGGAGAGAGGGGCTTGAGGTTGGCCAATAACTTAGTCAATCATGACTATGTAAAGAAGCCTCCATAAGAACCCAAAAGGACAGCTCATGGGCCCCTTTTGGAGAGCTGCTACAATGGGGAACTAAAACTCTTCCATGTGCCACTGTACTGGGCGTCAAGCTACACAAGAGCAGAAACTCCTTTGTTGGGGGCCACACCCTACGTATCTCTTCATCTGGCTGTTGATTTGTATCCGTTAATA